TTCTACTAGAGTAATATTAATTTACTCTCTATTTAGCTCCAAATTACAATTAATTCATCTCCCGACTAAATTGCTCGATTTACCTCCCTATGATTACGATATGAAGTTTGTACCGACAGTATAATTTGTCGACTTATTGAATCGAAAATAATACCTCTAAATTTCTTATTATGTCAGAACTTAATCCATAGGCTGGATTTAACATAATAATTCTTCTTGAGCTCATTTCGGAGACGTCATCAACTCGACGGACCGAGACATGGTGATCATAAACAATCCTACAGAAATAAAGTACAAAAAAAAAACTACTTATCAAAATACCGACTATGTTAACCTAGCAGGTTAGGTATCTCCTTTGGTAATTCAAACAAGTATTGAATACACATGTCCGTTTATTGTCTTACGAGTTAAGAGAACGCAACAATTACCGAGCTCTAGATTATGTACTTGGTCAATATAAATAATCTTTATCCTATTCGAACCATTTCATTAGAATGGGACATATGTTGAGATAAATTGTGCACCCTAGTTAGTTGTTACATAAGTAGTAGTAATAGTAGTAGGACATTTTATCAAGAAGTGAATAGGTTGTAGAGCTATTGACAAAATAGGTCTATTAATTCTAACACGGATCCAACACGACCAGGACATGTCAACATTTAATTCCACTTGTAATCACTTATTAATATTTGAAAGTGACGCATTCTCTTCTGCATCCGTCTGGTTTTAAGATCAAATGACCTAATGTATTGGTAGACTGCACTCCAATCTACCTTGCATTTCGTCATAATTTGACAATTGATATAGGTTTAAATAATGAAATAGCATATCAGAATCCAGAATTATTGATACATACCATTGTTTTAAATAGTTCACTATATAGTTTTTTTTTCGAAAAATTGCGACGGAGCCTTATATATTTAGCGTTTTCCCGAAAAGCTTACGCGAAATGTTGAAACGACACGCTTTCTTACGCTATTTGGCGATTTCACGCTATTGTGCGCTACATTGCGTTATATTTTTGCAACAACATTTGAACACTAAAATATTAAAAAAAACTCGTATTTTTTTAGGGATCAGAGTCATATTTACAAATGATATTTAAAAAAAAAAATTAAAAATTTTGATAATGATTTCAAATTAAAAGTTTGAAAATGTAAAGTTCTAAGTTGAACAGTGCAATATTTTTTTGTCTCTTTTTGTTATATCATTTTATTTTTCGAAATTTGACATATAAACAAAAATAAAAAGTTCATATGTAATGGTTAGAATTAAGTTGTAGTTAAAGAAAAATAATAAATAAAATATATATATTTAAAATTATATTATGACTTATCTCATTATATTTTTGTTTTTTGTTTTTACTTTTTAGTATATAAGATTATTATTAATTATTTATATTATGATGATATTTACATTAAATATTTGTGAGAATTAATCCTTAGATGTTATTTTTGATTTTGAATTCATTCAAATATTATGATATCTTTTGTAATCAACCATTCATTTTTATTATATGCAAATATAC